TTCGCCTTTCGGCACATGCACCGACACATACCGGTAACTCTCATTTTACTTATTTCGCAATCTTCACCACTTTTACCCACCAAAATTATATACAACTGTAAAATTAAGCTCAGCCCGTGAATATTACTTTCTCGTGTTCTAGAATGTTGTTTATGAATTTATTTATTTTTAGTTAGATTGTCGTGATGTGTTTTTCCACTTGTGTGAGTTAGGGTAAATGGACACAAACGCTGTTCACAACCAAGGTTCCCTCTAAGGTGCGCAGTACCAGGAGACAATTTTTGTTCAGTAAAATCTCATTTTTGCGCACTCGCAACCCATGCGTTTTCAAGGCGTGGCTCGTCATATTTTTTAACGCCTAGCTATAATGCCAGTTCCATGTTTAACATGCATTTCGGTTGCCACTGTTCATTGCGATGTTATAGGCCAGGAGTGACCAACACATCGATCGCCACGTCCCGAGTAGTTGATCACGTCTGATGTTGAGTGAATATACCAGCTCTAGCGTCTTCGCCAATTCCCCAGCCTGTCAGACACTTAAACGATGCAAAGTCTTTATTGCCGAAAAGATAAGATCCGAATAGAATAAAATAATAGTCATATTAATTAGCTTATATACTAATTACCAATAGATGTAAATGTACTAATCAATTATGAAATATAGACGAGGTATATTGAAACTGGTTTGTCATTAAGTAATGACTTGGGGCTATTTAAATCAATCATGTCCACTAGCAAAACTTGTTTTGGCGGTTTAATATTTTAAGAAATTCTGAATTATCTGGTTTTAATACAATTAATATTAAAAACAACAGTCAAAACTTAACAAAATATCCCTATGGTGAAATAAATATTATTCATAACGGTAGCAGTGGCATCAGAATACCCAATTCCAAGAGATCTATGAATCGAATTTAGAGATAAATGCAAATTATATACTGTTTTAGCAGTCATGTAAGATTTATTGTTTTGAAAATATATATTTTCCGCTTTGAGATAATACTGTGCTTCTCAAACTTCTTTGTATTCTGAAGCCCTCGAAAAAATATTTCCAAGTTGAAACTCCACGTAAAAAACGTCTTCAATGTAACACTTTTTTGAAATGTGTTTCAGTTAAACTATCGAACAAACATAACGAAAGTCAGTGAAATCTATTTAAATGGGATGGATGTAGGCCCTACTTGCTTCTTTTTACAAATGACAATATTGAATTGGGAAATTGACGCACGTAGCCCCTTTTCAACATTTACTCGAGATAAATATTTCATCCTGATTACGACTATGGCAGAAAAGTCAACCGAAGTATTATTTTTAGACTATTATTGTTCAGCATCTTTGAATAAATCTTGAATAAACGATGAAACATTCACACCGGTACGATTACATTGAATGGAACGTGGAAAATACGAATTTTGTGGCGATTTCAAATGCGCACACATAGACGATTTATAGGCTGGAATTTTTTGTATGCGTGTGTGCAGTTCTCTGCATATTCAGTACTGATTCGTTTTTGTGTATGACCTCATTAACAATCCGTCAATTGCGAACTATTTCGAAATTTTAGTCGACCGCGGTAGAAATCAAGTTAGCCACCACTGTTATAGGCCGATGCATGTATGTTACGTCCAAGTATCTTGATTTATATCGAACTGGCTATTTTAAGCCAAGCCTACATTGTCAGCGCGGGTCAGCAATAAACATGGATAAAGTGTATAAACATTGAAAACACGAAAACAAGGCTATTTAAGTTGAATGTGCACGTAATTTGTTCGCGTTATAAAATATATTACACTATTGTAATATTTCACAAAGTTTGTTAATTGGAACTTTGCGCGGCCTTAAAAAATTATTGCTCTCTAAAACAAGCAATTGTGCGGAACATTGTAATCACAACGTTTGCTATAAACCAGTGGTTCTCAAACTTTTTCAGTCCCAGAGACAAATTTCAAACCTCAAAGTTATGAAGAGCCGCACGCAAACAATGCAAGGTAAAATAGCAACAAACCTTAAGCGCGTATTTATAATACCAAGCCATCGTAACAACAACACACGTAACAACTAGGGCTAGGAAAAATATTCGAATAATGAATAGAATAATAAAATATTCGAATGGCATTTTACTATTCGAATATCCGGTACCACGTGACCTGCGCCGCTTTGCTTGGACACCGAACTCGCGCACCTCCAACTCAATCGTGAATTGTGCGAGATTTCCCAACGGCGCTCGCTATCAGAAAAAAACGACAAATTTGAAAAGTCGTTGTCTTTGCGTTATGGTGTTATATGCTTATTTTTGCACCTAACGTAATGTTTCAGTTCTATATTTTGCAATAAAACGTACCGACTGTTCCGTAAATTTAGAAACGTCAAACCACATTAGGTATTTAAAATAAATTTATAGATTTTGAACTCCGTATGCTTGGTGACATGTCATTAGTCATTTCTCGCATGATCGTACATAAAGTTGATTAAAATTAAACGTTAAAATGACTTTTCGGCGTTTCATTATGAAGAAGGCGATTTTTGGTCGTTAGAAAACTCCGCAGAGCGGCTCTCAAACCCTAGTTTGAGAATCACTGCTATAAACCTTTCACTAGGTTTTGCCGATATTCCGGGTGTTTCTGTCGCCATTGTCTGTGTATTGTTTATATTTTGTGTGCGTTCTGTGTTGTGTAGACTGTAGATCAGTGGTCGGCAACCACCGGGCCGCGGCCCATCGCCGGTCCGCGGAAAAGTTACTGCCGATCCGCAGAGAGGTCACACAAAAACAGACAAGGCTGTAATAAAACCTCTACAATCTAACTACAAACCCTATGAGACTAAAAACAGCACCCAGCAGCAAACACAACACTTTTGAGCATCATGTTTGACTTCACAAACAATTGCCATGTCAGTATGTCGCAATAATGCCCGATCAATTTTTTTTCTCTATCACCCGTATAAGAATGTCTCTCATCGGTCGAATAAGATCTTTCCAACAAAATGATTCTCGCTAAAAACGTGACTACTCCGCTACTGGCTCGTAGCTAACCGGTCGTACCTAGTCAGTGCTAATTCTATTCTTCAGAATCAGGATAATCATAAAGTTAGCACTTCGGGTAAAACATTAGTTTTGGAAAAACAGACATCAATCAATGCCCAGACTAAGGTCGGAAGGTTTACATGCATTGTTACCTTTCCCGAAATCTTATTATTGTGATGCCTGGTTTTCAATATTGACAACTACAAAAACGAAATATCGAAGCAGGCGAGATGCAAGAAACACATTACGTGTGTTAATGTCTACCACATCTCCAACATGGGAACAGTTAATGGTCAGCAAACGCATACAGATACCGCATTAAATAGCATGGCCGTCGTTTTTAGTATATTGTGAACATAAATTTCCTAATGCGTATAATTTAATGCATTAGCTTAGTTCGTTTGTATAAAGGTGGTCCGCCAAAATGTTGGTCAGGCATTACCGGTCCGTCACTTGAAAAAGGTTGCTGACAACTGCTGTAGACGAAAGATCGAAGTATTATTATATTACAATAATTCGTTAAAAAGATACATAGTATTATTTTGTTTCTAATGATATCATGAAAACAAGCTCAATCCGTTATTTGAACATCACTACGCTGTCGGTTCCCCCGCCTGAATCCTCCATTATCCATCACCCAACGCGTATATATATAACACTTGACCTAAATCTCCGACCCTCGAACACGCTGGAGAATGCACGTACGAAGTTGAGCTACAACACGATTGGATGTATTTGGAGGTGTGGCTCCGGCCACCTGTTTTTGTTTTGTGCTACTCTCAGTCCTGGACTGCTGTTTCCGTGCATTGGCCTGCCTCGCCCGTGTGCCCGTGTCTCTACTTCTGTAGTTAGTATTAGACTGAGCTATAGCTAGGGGGTTTAGGAGAAATGTTTCGAACTGGGACCCATGAGTTTGTGACCAGTGTGTTTTCAGACGACCCGGTCCGCCAGTCGATCAAAGTTCATTTGTTCAGTCAGTCGATCAAAGTTCACTTCAGGTACGAAAGGCGTATCGCAGAAGAATATCAGACTATTGTCAGGTCGTGCCGTGTTCCGTCAAAAAAATGATTGTCGTCTGTGTCTGGTTTCATTTAATACTGTAATAAGCATTGTTACCATATACTCACGACTATTGTAGACCCAAGAACACGCTGATATCCACAAGTCAGTATGGTGATAATATTGCAGCCAACCATGAAATAAGCTGACGCAACGTCGAATAGAACCACGAAATACCGAAGATACGGTATGGAGTTACTGCTGTACCGGTATTGCTTTGTAAGAATTATTCAAGTTGAACTGTTTAAAGTGCGGATGTACGTTAGTATAGTTTAGTACCACAAGTACTTCCAGTGGGCGTAGCATAACGAATTTTGCATATGTTGTTATTAACCCTCACCTGACTACCGGTACCGTATGCCATCCAAAAATTACGTCACTGTGACGTCGAAATGAAGTAATTTTTCGGTGACCTAGTAAGGTGGGAGTTAGGAATGACATAGGCAAAAATTGTTGAACCAGGCCAACTAGACGTGCATGTGATACTAAACTATACCAGACACGAGACTGCTACCGGTACTGCGGTACAGACTGACAGATAGAATGGATAGATGATAATGTTTGATATGAATGCAAGAATTTGGTGTCATTACCGGTACTGTATTACAGAATTAGTAATGCCAGTCCATGCATAGGCCTACCTCATTTAGGCGAATACGATACCATATAGAAATAACTGATTAATAATAATATACGGTACTAGCAAAGCATCTTTTCATTTGAAGGACATACATCTCTGCATTTTGGGTTTCCTGAAGTACACACCCACAAGCACTTCTAGTTGGTCCCCAAACTGATAATGGAACTAAAATGAGGAAAATTTTAACCTTAACCTGGTACACAACCTACTGGAGTACCTACAATTTCATTGAGTTGGATCAGTACATTTATTTTATAAATCTTTTGCGTTTCCAGATATGAAATTTAAATAGTGTTATAGAGTTACCATATAAGTATATATTTGTAAGTTCAATCATACATATGCAAATACCATGGCAAAAGTAAAACGAAAATGCAATCCAAATTTGAGTAATTCGCCCACCATGATTGTAATGGTTGGACTACCAGCACGAGGGAAGACGTACATCAGCAAAAAATTAACACGATACCTCAACTGGATAGGATTACGCACTAAAGTTTTTAACCTCGGAGAGTATCGTCGTAAAACTGTCCAATCTTTCAAAGATCATGATTTTTTCCGCCCCGATAATGAAGATGCACAAAAAATACGTAGGGAATTTGCAACCCGTGCTTTAAATGATGTTAAATCTTGGCTTGAGTCCGATGGTCAAATTGCAGTTTTTGATGCCACGAACACAACACGAAAACGTCGTACAATGATTCACGACTTTTGTGAAAAAGAAGGTTATAAACTGTTTTTCATAGAGATTATTTGTGATGACCCTGGCATTATTGAACAAAACATTACGGAAGTCAAAATCAATGGTCCAGATTATAAAGGAATTGATCCAGAAAGTGCAAGAGAAGACTTTGCAATTAGAATTGAGAATTATAAAAAAGCTTACGAAAAACTTGACGTTAAAATTGACGATGATTTATCATTTGTTCAAATACATGACGTTGGGCAGAGGTTTATTGTGAATAAAGTGCAAGATCATACCCAAGGAAGGATTATATATTATATCATGAACACTCATTTGACTCCAAGATCAATCTATGTTTGCAGGCATGGGGAAAGCGAAATGAATCTAACAGGTGATTTTTTATGTAGTTTTCACTTCTTTACAAGGCTATGAACAAATATACATGGATTTGTGAAGAGGCAGAAGTTTTCCTGGTTCCGTATGGATGTTTCCCAGAGCCTCAATTTCCACGTTTATTCCCGTAACATTGACCAATCAGCAAAAATTCAACGATGACATAACAACATGATGGTTTTGAACATGCAGACTAGTTTGTAAATGCCATACTCCAAAACACTCTCAAAATATGTATAAAAATTTTTGTGATAGTATAGTATGTGAGAATTTATTTGGTGTCAAAGGTCGAAGAAACATCCATTGCCTTCTCAGTTCATTTCACCTTGGGTGTGTAGTTATCACCGCTAAGTAGAAATCACTAATAGACCGATCTATTTCAAATTTTTCAGCCCTTAGCCAAGGCTACTAAAATAGGACCCAATATTTTATCCAAATTTTGCTGTTCATTATGAGGTACTTTTGTAGTGTGTGTAACAGGTTAGGTTTAGGCCATAACTTTATTCCGATTTTCCTTATTTTAGTTGTATTACAAGTTTGGGGACTGTCTGTGTTAGCCAAAAGAATATGCCCCTGCTCATATTCATAGGTTTCAGTCCTTTTATACAACTTGATGTAAAATAGGCAAACAAAATTAGTTTCTTCCATATTGGTATATATACTTCTGGAGCGCCTATTTTGATGAGGGAGGACACTATTCTTCGTTTTGTCACCTACTTTGACCCCCTATCTTTTCAGCAAACTCGGCGCTCTAAAACCTTATTATTACTTATCGATTTTAATAGTAAGAGCGCTGTTTTGGGGGATCCCCTGACTTTTGATCGATAAGTTTTCGGTCTCTGACCGATATTCTCGTTATATCTTTATTGATTCATATTCATAGGTTTCAGTACTTTTATACAACTTGATGTAAAATAGGCAAACAAAATTAGTTTCTTCCATATTGGTATATATACTTCTGGAGCGCCTATTTTGATGAGGGAGGACACTATTCTTCGTTTTGTCACCTACTTTGACCCCCTATCTTTTCAGCAAACTCGGCGCTCTAAAACCTTATTATTACTTATCGATTTTAATAGTAAGAGCGCTGTTTTGGGGGATCCCCTGACTTTTGATCGATAAGTTTTCGGTCTCTGACCGATATTCTCGTTATATCTTTATTGATGCGAGATGTTTGTGACCATATGTAGCATTGCTCTCCATTGTTTCATTTCTAATTTATAACATTTCAAAATTCAGGTCAGATTGGTGGAGATGCTCATTTGTCAGAAAACGGAAGACAATTTTCAGTCGAATTAAAGAAATTTATAGACGAACAAAAAATAGACGGCCTCAAAGTTTGGACAAGTCAACTTCAGAGAACGATTGAGACGGCTTCTCACCTTCCCCAGAATATCATCGAGCACTGGAAAGCTCTCAATGAAATAAGTGCTGGGGTTTGTGAAGAAATGACTTATAAAGAAATACAAGAGACTTTTCCTGAGGAATTCGCATTGAGAGATCAGGATAAATTTTACTATAGGTGAGAAATAAGAGTAATGGATGGTGTTAAATGTTCCTCATTGCTCATTGCTGCAAATTCTCCTCATTGCTCATAAATTTCAATTGCATAGTTCAGGACGTATAGCATAACTGACATAACCAGTTTCTGGCTTTAAATAAAAAACCAACCAATATCTGGACACAGAAGCGTGTTTGGAGTCTCAGAACAGCCAACCTCGTACTGAAACTATATGAATGTCAGATACCAGTATCACACGTGTATTTTTATATTAGCTTGCAAACCGTCTTCTACCATGCCAGTTATCAGAGTTAACTATATAGTTTAGGTGTGTCACAGAGAAATTCAGGCCTCACCGATGTGGTAACATAATAAGTTTGTAAACCAATGCTCATAAACTTTAATATATAGGAATAACATAATCTCTTTCCACGAAATAGTAGGTTTATTTATGAGCTTTCGTTGTTACTGTTAGGGTTTTGCTTCTAAAGAATGTGCATTTCTTGCCTGAATCGATCAATATTTTTTTATATTAATTTAAAGAATTCAATTACTTGGTAATTTTAAATCATTATGTCTTATCGGCTTATCTCTTATGTGGGATAAATATGAAATTTGTGTTCTTGTCTGAAATGAACTGTGAATCTGAAACCATATTCACTGATTCGCTTCATTGTAAGAATAAATTTCAAATTTCTCATCACAGATATCCGATGGGTGAATCATATCATGACTTGGTACAACGACTCGAACCAGTGATTATGGAATTAGAAAGATCAGAAAACGTTCTTGTCATCTGTCATCAAGCAGTCATGAGATGTTTACTTGCTTATTTTCTTGATAAAAATTACGAAGACCTGCCGTACATTGAATGCAAGCTACATGCAGTGTTGAAACTAACACCAATTGCTTTTGGGTGCAATATTGAAACCTTTGATTTGGGAAGTAAGTGATGATTTATTCTTGTGAATAATTTATTAAAACTGAATCTCTAATGAGGTATGTTGTGGACACCACAGAAATACCAAGAGATATTTGAAATATATAAACATAGTGCTAATGTGAAAATAGGTTGAAATGAGGCCTTATTGAGCAATAAAATGGAGTCTAACAATCCTCTCACATAAAATTATTCCACACAGGATACAAACCCAGTATTAATTAAGGGGTGCGAATTACGTGGGTGATGTTAAAGGAATATTTGAGGGCATTTCCTTTTAATATCAGGAAAAATTATGCATTCATAAATACTATTTCATGCTTAACAGTCAAAACGTTTGATTAGGAAATGATATGTTAAAACCAAATAATTTGTAGAAAATTATCTATGAGGAAAGTCACGCATGAAATTCAAAGAGCTGCTGAAACTGTAGAAATATGATCATTTATCATGCCTCAGTAAAGCTGGTTTGAAGTGAGGCTTGAAGATTGTTTTGATAACTTTGTTATATCAAGAATTATTAGTGAATACCAAATTTACGGGGGACTTGAAGTAGTACAAGTAAATACAATATAATAAAACAACTAAGAGATGGTTAATTCGATATAACTGAGCCTCTCAACCAAAGGAACAGATCCCTAGTGGATTCTATATATAGTATTGGTGTTGACTGTTGACAAGACCTCGTACCACAGGTTACGCATCCTTGGTTTAAATCTAATTCTATCTCACCTGGGTGTAATAAATGAGGTTTCCCAAAGTGGGGTCCGCAGACCCCCGGGGGTCCGTGACAACTGCAGAGGGGGTCCGCAACGATATGAAAAAAGGCTGATCGATATTTTAATGATTGGTTTCAATTGAAGAGAAATTGCATATTTTCGGTTAAGCGTTGCGGACGAATATCCATTACCGTCAGAAAGGGCAATTAAAATCTTTTTGCAACGGCCTACATTCGTGAGGCAGCATTTTCACTCTTATAAATATTATAAATAAAATTGAACATACAGTGATAATTGCTAGCGGGGAACTGAGTACAGTGAGTTCCTGATTGAAAATTTATCAAACTTGCTTTAAGATATTTGAACTGTATATCCCCCCCAACCTTGGTCAAACATAACCATTTTGGTCTTTCATGTTGTCTGGTACTAGAGACTCAATATATTAGGTGCTAGGCTCACAAGCCTAAAGTCCCACTGGCATGCCTTTTCAATTATGTGGCATGGAGTACTCTTATGTCTCATGTTTTAAACCTTCATGTGGAGTTCCCTAAATTCCCTGCCCTGTGTGTTTGTCCTGTGTATTGTAATTTTTCCATGCCACAGCAGATTTGAAAATAAACTATCTTTTTTATTCTGCAGGTCATCTCGCAGTTGATACTCACAGAAAGAAACCGACATCAACTTCAATGAATAGGAGCGAGGATGAAGCATTGGAAACAGCTCCTGACTATCCAGATGTTGAACATCATTTTGTTAATGGTACGTCGAAAATTTTGAGAAATTAAATATATGTATATATTTTTGAGGAATCTTATTACTAGTCATATATGATATCAGGTCCTCAGCATGCCTACTTCTAGGGGTAATTTACCCCTGTCCCTTCTCAACAAAACAATTAGTACACTACATTGTGGGCTGGAGCAGCTGTATATATGAGGATTCAACTGTTTTCCTGGCCTGGAAATTACAGTCAAGTTATATGCATTCATCGTGTACTCATGATTACAGATCTGCTCATTTTTTTTTTCAGGTGAACCAGAGCCTTCTGCTGGAACTGTAGACGACACCAAAGAAATAGTTCGAGAATACAGTTTCCCCGGTTCAGATAAAAAGTTTTTATTTTCTTATCGACCTCCCAGTCTTGGAGAAAGAAAAAGACACAGCTCTGAGCCAGGGTAGGTATATCAGGGATGCATGTTTCTACTTCACAAGGCTACAATCAATAGACAATATTATGCTACATTAAACCTAACAGTGCCGTTAAACATACTATTCACTGAGCAGAAGCCGCCTAATATTAGAACTTGGTGATTTACCAGTAGGTGGATATCGTACTCAAACGAGAAAACATGCAAAAGTTTTCACAATAATCTTGTTGCATGACATGCTATGTTTGAATACTTGTTGGACGCGCTTTTTCGTGATTTTCACTGAATAGAATATCAGTTCTCAATCAGTACAATGCTTGCAATTCATTTCATGTCATGCTTTGTTCAAATAAATAATCAAATAAAATTTGTTCAAATAATCATTGGTTGCGCGTTTTTGGGATTTGCACTGAATATAAAATCAGTCTTCAATCAGTACAATGCTTGCAATCCATTGAATTGGTCTTTATTGTTGCAACATACAAATCATAGTCTCATATATTATTTATTATTTGGGAGTTGAAATATTATGAAGCAAAATTTATTGCTAATCAATAATGTTGAATAAGCAAAAAGTAAACACCTTATGTTATTTGGGGCTTTAACACAAAGAGTTGAAATTGGGAATAACTATTTTTAGAAATTAAAAAAATAACATACGGTAATTACATTTGTGTAACTTTTTGTTGGAATACTTTGTTGAATATTTGTATTTTTTACAATTGATGATGGGCATATAAAGGTCATTATCTCAATGGTATTGACTACTTATAAACGCAAGTCATAATGAAGACACGAAAAAAGTTATGTCATCAATTAATCAATAGTTTATGACTAACTACAATAATATAGCCTTGTCATCTTTACTAGTCATTATTCTGTGATTGTGACTCAACAGTTTTGTGCTTGCAAGATATGACAACAAAATATGGTTTTGATCAAAAGAATATGTAGTTGACCTAATTTATTTAAAAACAAGCCATCAAGCATCGAAATTTATGAAATGTAGAAAATACCAGGGCAGTTGAAACACAGACCCTGCTACTTCAGCCTCATTTTTAGAACTTTCGACTCCTGCTATAGCATTAAGTATACGCTGGCAACTGCACCTCTGATTACTCTGAGTGTGGGTTCGAATCCCATGCGGGGATAGTCATGTGCGGGAGAATTGATTTCCTTTTAACTATTGCAAATTTACTAGATGTGGCCCCCAAAGAACCGCTACATGGCCCTTTTGAGGGCCCATTATTTTAATAATTGAATTATCGTGTTGTCTATGATTGTTAATTATTTTTCAGTGATAACAAGGAATCAGAAACAGGGATTAAGAAAGTAGGAAGTCTGGGAATGATGAAAACGTTGGCTCATGATCATGTTCTCATTGGAACAGAAATAAGAGAAGTTGACGAGGGGAACACTGAAATACCGGAAAATAAAAACAATACGAAAGGAATATTTTCCGGTGGGGAGGGAGAGGAAGATAGTGTTCTTTTTCATGTTGGAAGACAGGGAACTGTAGACTATACAGGATTAGAAGACGACCTTGGTGAATAAAAAGTGTTCACTCTTGGATTTTTATATCTTTATAAAAATATAATTTGCTATTTTGGTATACTTTGCCTATTTTGAAAAACGTAAAATATTTGATACTTATTTAGGTTTTAAAGATTTAAAATATCCAGTAATTGGAAAAATATAGAGCAAAGATACTCAAGCTTTGCTCGATTTTTTTAGCAAAAGTTAAATTTACCCCTCACCTTTGTAGATTGCCTGCTCCAGTGTGCTGTAACTGAACTATGGAAGTAGGGCTAAGTTTGACAATACCCCCTCAGTGGGGGCATAATAAAATCAACCGCGCAAGGAATTCATTTCAACTTTCACGGGGTGACACAACCCGTAAATTTTCTTAATTACTTCTATGAAAATGAAAAAAAAATGTTAACACATGGACTGCAGTTTGCGTATAATTGGAATCTAGGACTGACTATTTGCACAAAAGTTTTGTTCGAAATGACATGGGTGCTGTTATTTGGTCACCCTGTATGTGGCCAACACCCACCCCCCCGATATAGAGAAATGAGGTTGCCTTCCACCAATGAAAAAGTCTTAGATTTGTCTACACCTAGGTCTACCAAACTTTTAAGTTCGAAACCCCTTCCAAGTTCCAATATAGTAAAATTTTCCTGGACCTCTGTTAAATCGGCATTGGTATGCAAGTGCGCCGCTTCGCTGATTCGATGTATTGTATTCTCTTGTATTGTTTTAAGTTTTGCACTAATTTTAATAATTGTGTCATTCGAGGCAAAAGTCTAAAGAAGAACAATAGATATTTGTGTGAAAATGATGTACTCTTTGCGGCCCATCAGTTTGGGAAGCTCTGGTCTACATAAATATTAAATGATCACAATAGTTCAATGTGATAATATATTGGGTAAGCATAGGTTATACGGGAAAATTTAGGGCTTTTCATGGATTTCAACAATTTTTATTGAATGAAATAATATTTTTTGCAATCGAAATAATGTTCACCATGTTTTTTTTTTTATCTAACAAATGCATACAATTGTCTGCCCAATGAATATGAAACGTTAAGATCGCAATGTCATGATTTTAAATAGTGAGCAAATAGAGGATGAAAACAATTTCCGGCGCTCCAGAAGTGCGTGTACCAATATGGAGGTGACTCATTTTGTTCGCCTACTTTACATCAAGTTGTGTAAATAGACAGAAACCTATGGACAATGTTATATTCAGTTAACACAGACAGTCACCAAACACGTTATAGAACCAAAAATAAGGACAATTGGAATAAAATTATGCTCTAACCTGGTACACATACTACAGGAGTACCCAATTTCCAATCAAATAAGTGCACACCGATATAAGTGGCGGGTTAAGATGTAAAAATATAGAATAAGTTAATTGCTGATGGCATTTATTTTAACACTGTGTTTACTCAAGGTGATTTTCTCCTAACAGTCAGATAGTTCTGTACCCTAGATATTATACCAAATGGCAAATGAATTAAGATTTATTTTTCATAGGAATTTCTACTGGTAAAATTCTCTTTCATGTGGGTGTTCAACCTCGTGTATTGAGTTTAATATTAATTTGTTTTCCGTAATCTACATGGCTTTATTGAGCAGCTCTGAGTATGTAAAAAGTTGTTTGTAAATGCCCTATTTTAAGGTTTTTTTTTAGATTTTTACTGCATGAATTGTATCTATTGAAGACTTACCGTACATAAAACATAAAAAATTTCAGTTTTTGATTTGCTTTGAATGCGATGCTGCTTTGTCACACTTCATGTGGCTCTATGGAAATCAATCAAAACCGTTTGGGAGTTTGGTATTCATCCTAACACGAAGCATACTATTTAATACAGTGGTTCTCAAGTCGCGGCCCGTGGGCCAGTTACGGCCCACGTAGCAATTTAAAATGGCCCGTCAAACTTGAGTGTCTTTCTTTTTGTGTTTTAGATACCCCTGATTGATACTTCATTATCACAGTTTAAGGACATGTATACCAGTATCTTAATTATACCACTAGTATCGGCCCCTTTGGGCGCTCCCTCCTCCTGACCCGCGAATATCCTTCCGCTTCTAACTTTGGTCCCCGATCAAATAACCTTAGAAACAGCTGATTTAATAGTATTCACATGCCGGCTTTGCGGTTTATAGTCAAATAGTCACACAATTGACGCATAGTTCCCCAGGTGTAAATTTTTTCTGAAAGTGTTCATGCATACTCTCATTTTTATTGCATATAGAATTGTGTTTCAAAATTCTAATTAAAAAAATATCCACATTTTATAACGAAAGTTAATTGTTAACAAATTGTATATTGAGACCAGTGTGCCTGCAAAAGAGCGATAAATATTCAACTAAACACCATATAATGTCATGTAAATATTTAATTAAACACGGTAATACTTTTAGTTAATTATAAAATGCATATGTTCACGCTTATATACCCTTTCCTGGTAATAATTGCCCCTGCAGCAAGGTTTAATTCTCCCTCAAAAGGTTTTTATAGTTTGGGATTTGAATCTTCCGGATTGCCCATATCTATTTAGAAAACTGTTGAATTATTTTACCGAGCACATATCTCATCATCTCTGATCAAATTTTGTGTGATGGAGACTCTTAGCAGTTTGCCAGTGTGTGTAAACTCAGAACATATCGTTCAATCATATTTGCATATGATTGTAATAATTCGCCCAACAAATGTTCATTTCTCTTTCCCGAACGGCGTACAGATAAAATTACTCTTGTAATTCACATCAAAATCTTACATGTACAGAGAACTAATCTTGGAAGCTTACAAGTTTAGTCGCTTTGCTCCACTGAGCCGGACGCTGTTTTTTATTCTGCCAAATTAATGGAGACATATTTGTGTGATCATTTTTCGCAGGATAGATTTAGAGTTGTGTTTGTTATTCCCTTCAAAATGTAATCTGTTCTAAGATCTAATCTTGAAAAAAAAAAAAAACAGTCCAGCCTTTATGCTCCACCGAGCAAGATACTGTTTTTAATTCTGCCAAATTCTGTTTCTGCATGGAGGTTTTATGCTGGCGATATATCTATATGCTCGTTTTTTCGCATGTGCACTTAATATTGTTACGCAATCCTATCTGGAGCACACAGTGTTCATTAATTTCATTTGTACTGTAATAAATGCACGTTGTTTAAAAATGGAAATGCATAAATGCATTCCTGTATTGGAATCTTTGGTTGTATCAAATTTTTCATCGCGTAGTTTCGTAAAGATTGAAACAAAGTAATGTTGAACAGAAATGCACAAAAAGTTCAGACTCTAGCAATGGCGTTTTATGTAAAGAACGCCCTCGAGACGCCGGGTAACAACTCCGTGTGTGGTCTTGAAACAAATAGAATATATTAGGAACAGTTTACACTTGGAATGATAGGCAACGAAAGAATAGGATTCGAATATTGTGGACTACGTTGGTAGCTGTTATTTCAATTTCTCGAAGATGTGATCAGACATTTTATATGGAACTATGTTGGGTAATCCCGAAGTATGTGAACCAAAATGGCGGACACCTGGTATTGGTATGTGCACCAGATTAGGGTTGGGCCATATTTTATTACAAATTTCCCTATTTCAGTTCCATTACGAGTTCGGGGACTATCCAAGTGACTCCCGTATTTGTATCCGAAATTATGGCCTAACCCAGCGTTTCCCAACCTTTTTTTGTCGCGGACTATTTTCTCACCGGCGAAAATCATTGCGGACTCAAGGTGCGTTTATTTCATCCGTACTCTGTGTGAAGAAGCAATAAAACCAAACACAAAAGAATTTTAACGAATTTCAACAATGGCTTTTTTTGTCGCACAATACCCAATCCATGACAACGACTAGAATTTAAAATGTCTTTCTATTTTAATTTAACTGTGTCCACGGTCACTCGCTGTTGCGTCTTCTCTAAAATGCCAAGGCAATCTGCGAACTAATAATTGGAAAATATATTGCCCGATTATATTTAGTTTTGATAGATATTTTTTGCGATCTTGCGAATTTGTTATCGCCGTTAGAAAAATCCTACTATCTGCTATAAATTTCCAGAAAGTAGAACCTAATTTAGTCCTTATTAAAAATATATTTAAAGTATATTAGTAAATCAAAAATACATATTCATTGCCTCGTTTTATTATTAATAAAACGACGAAATAAAAACAATACTACTGAGAAAATATGATGACAATCCTTGGACACAAAAATGCGTGGTAAAGTGCCCGATTATATTTTGTTTTGATTCGTATTTTTGTGAATTCGACAAATCTGAGCTGTTCGTACAACACTTACGGCAGTACTATACGTACCAATGTGGAGGCAGTTTGATCAAGCAACGCGCAAGTGACCTGTCGCGTCACCTGTTATCGAATTTTTGAATATTTATTTGCTATTCTAATGGCTGAATATTCGAATATATGACTCGATCAATGTTATGTGGATAAACTTGCTTTTTATGTTTTATGTGAATTCTAACGTAAATCGTAACTTGGCTGATAGTTAAGTTTCACAAAAACGTTTGCGGCCCGCAGTGAATTTCTGGCTCGTTGCGGATTCATTCAAACGCTCCGTGGACTCATTTGAGACCGCGGACTCGGGTTGGGAAACACTGGCCTAACCTGATACAAATACTACGTTCCGGTGTCCGCCATCTTGGTTCACATACTTCGGGAGTACCCGTTGGGTGGAACTTACACCACACGTCGGATTTTTATCACAATAAAAAATTCCTTCTTCGCAGTTGTTTACCTCAAGCGAGTTATAGGTTTTCTTCAGATTTGGCTGATGTAAACAAATCCCGAACGATAAGCATTGAGTTGGACGCCCGAAGACACAATTTCGTGTTTTTTACCTTTGTTTAAACGCATGTTTGTGTGTGTAAGATGTGTAAACTGGCATGTAAATCTACATGTTTTGAATTTCCTAATGGCTTTCCCCAATCATTTGTGTGTTCATTTTTTGGGTTATCAAAATAAACTTATACTTTTGTCGCTACAGTGACGAAGAAATAAATCCGCACGTATTTATATAATATTCGAACTGGCTTATGTCTCCTAGTGGTCGGTAAATCAGTTAACGCCAAGAATTTTACTTTTAACGAAGTTAAATCTAACTCTTCACTTGGCGATGTTCGTACGGGATTGACGCGGTCCGTTCATGTCGTATGAAATCCGTTTTATGAGAACCGGAATATTTCCATTTAGGCATAGCCCACCTATAATTTTATTACTTTCTTTCTGCTACAGTTTGTGGACACGAAATTTTAACATAGATAAAAATTAGGAAAAATGGCCCGTCAAACTTGAGTGTCTTTCTTTTTGTGTTTTAGATACCCCTGATTGATACGTCATTATCACAGTTTAAGGACATGTATACCAGTATCTTAATTATACCACTAGTATCGGCCCCTTTGGGCGCTCCCTCCTCCTGACCCGCGAATATCCTTCCGCTTCTAACTTTGGTCCCCGGTCAAATAACCTTAGAAACAGCTGATTTAATAGTATTCACATGCCGGCTTTGCGGTTTATAGTCAAATAGTCACACAATTGACGCATAGTTCCCCAGGTGTAAATTTTTTCTGAAAGTGTTCATGCATACTCTCATTTTTATTGCATATAGAATTGTGTTTCAAAATTCTAATTAAAAAAATATCCACATTTTATAACGAAAGTTAATTGTTAACAAATTGTATATTGAGACCAGTGTGCCTGCAAAAGAGCGATAAATATTCAACTAAACACTATATAATGTCATGTAAATATTTAATTAAACACGGTAATACTTTTAGTTAATTATAAAATGCATATGTTCACGCTTATATACCCTTTCCTGGTAATAATTGCCCCTGCAGCAAGGTTTAATTCTCCCTCAAAAGGTTTTTATAGTTTGGGATTTGAATCTTCCGGATTGCCCATATCTATTTAGAAAACTGTTGAATTATTTTACCGAGCACATATCTCATCATCTCTGATCAAATTTTGTGTGATGGAGACTCTTAGCAGTTTGCCAGTGTGTGTAAACTCAGAACATATCGTTCAATCTTATTTGCATATGATTGTAATAATTCGCCCAACAAATGTTCATTTCTCTTTCCCGAACGGCGTACAGATAAAATTACTCTTGTAATTCACATCAAAATCTTACATGTACAGAGAACTAATCTTGGAAGCTTACAAGTTTAGTCGCTTTGCTCCACTGAGCCGGACGCTGTTTTTTATTCTGCCAAATTAATGGAGACATATTTGTGTGGTCATTTTCGCAGGATAGATTTAGAGTTGTGTTTGTTATTCCCTTCAAAATGTAATCTGTTCTAAGATCTAATCTTGAAAAAAAAAAAAACAGTCCAGCCGTTATGCTCCACCGAGCAAGATACTGTTTTTAATTCTGCCAAATTCTGTTTCTGCATGGAGGTTTTATGCTGGCGATATATCTATATGTTCGTTTTTCCGCATGTGCACTTAATATTGTTACGCAATCCTATCTGGAGCACACAGTGTTCATTAATTTCATTTGTACTGTAATAAATGCACGTTGTTTAAAAATGGAAATGCATTCCTGTATTGGAATATTTGGTTGTATCCAAATTTTCATCGCGTAGTTTCGTAAAGATTGAAACAAAGTAATGTTGAACAGAAATGCACAAAAAGTTCAGACTCTAGCAATGGCGTTTTATGTAAAGAATGGCCTCGAGACGCCGGGTAACAACTCCGTGTGTGGTCTTGAAACAAGTAGAATATATTAGAAACAGTTTACACTTGGAATGATAGCCAACGAAAGTATAGGATTCGAATATTGTGGACTACGTTGGTAGTTGTTATTTCAATTTCTCGAAGAAATGATCAGACATTTTATATGGAACTATGTTGGGTACTCCCGAAGTATGTGAACCAAAATGGCGGACACCTGGTATTGGTATGTGTACCAGGTTAGGGTTGGGCCATAATTTTCTTACAAATTTCCCTATTTCAGTTCCATTACGAGTTCGGGGACTATCCAAGTGACTCCCGTATTTGTATCCGAAATTATGGCCTAACCCAGCGTTTCCCAACCTTTTTTTGTCGCGGACTATTTTCTCACCGGCGAAAATCTTTGCGGACTCAAGGTGCGTTTATTTTATCCGTACTCTGTGTGAAGAAGCAATAAAACCAAACACAAAAGAATTTTAACGAATTTCAATAATGGCTTTTTTTGTCGCACAATATTCAATTCATGACAACGACTAGAATTTAAAATGCCTTTCTATTTTAATTTAACTGTGTTCACGGTCACTCGCTGTTGCGTCTTCTCTAAAATGCCAAGGCAATCTGCGAACATAATAATTGGAAAATATATTGCCCGATTATATTTAGTTTTGATAGATATTTTTTGCGATCTTGCGAATTTGTTATCGCCGTTAGAAAAATCCTACTATCTGCTATAAATTTCCAGAAAGTACAACCTAATTTAGTACTTATTAAAAATATATTTAAAGTATATTAGTAAATCAAAAATACATATTCATTGCCTCGTTTTATTATTAATAAAACGACGAAATAAAAACAATACTGCTGAGAAAATATCATGACAATCCTTGGACACAAAAATGCGTGGTAAAGTGCCCGACTATATTTTGTTTTGATTCGTATTTTTGTGAATTCGACAAATCTGAGCTGTTCGTACAACACTTACGGCAGTACTATACGTACCAATGTGGAGGCAGTTTGATCAAGCAACGCGCAAGTGACCTGTCGCGTCACCTGTTATCGAATTTTTGAATATTTATTTGCTATTCTAATGGCTGAATATTCGAATATATGACTCGATTAATGTTATGTGGATAAACTTGCTTTTTATGTTTTATGTAAATTCTAACGTAAATCGTAACTTGGCTGATAGTTAAGTTTCACAAAAACGTTTGCGGCCCGCAGTGAATTTCTGGCTCGTTGCGGACTCATTCAAACGCTCCGTGGACTCATTTGACACCGCGGACTCGGGTTGGGAAACACTGGCCTAACCTGATACAAACCTGATACTACGTTCCGGTGTCCGCCATCTTGGTTCACATACTTCGGGAGTACCCGTTGGGTGGAACTTACACCACAGCACTTACGTCGGATTTTTATCACAATAAAAAATTCCTTCTTCGCAGTTGTTTACCTCAAGCGAGTTATAGGTTTTCTTCAGATTTGGCTGATGTAAACAAATCCCGAACGA